AATTGTCTGACGACGGAAGGATTCCAGGCGCTGCAGCGGATCCAAGAGAGATCTCACGAAGACCCCTCCATCCACATGGCGTCCCTTACGTGGACCACTCTCAGCCACAGCGCGTTTGGTGAAGCCGGTCAGACCAGTGGTGCGATTCAAGCTCTTATGCTTGAACACATGATTAGGTGAGCATTGAGTTGGCCGGCCGTACAAGACACGCATGCGTGTGGCAAAGTACCTAGCCTAAAACCCTCACCACCAACGTGAAACACACATGTTTCTGGTCAGATATCCCGAGCCTCCCGAGTTTTTTGAGGCTGTCAATGTGTGTCTGATACGGCTTTCATTTGAGCGCGAGGTTCTTCAACACCGCCACCCCCACCCCCCCCCTTCCCGCCTTCCCGCCAGGTTCCGCTCCCGATCCGACAACTCGAAGGCGCTAACGGTCGCTGATCTACCTGGCATCGCCAAACTCGCTCACGATGCACATGACTTCATGGAACGGACTGATNAGTTGGCCGGCCGTACAAGACACGCATGCGTGTGGCAAAGTACCTAGCCTAAAACCCTCACCACCAACGTGAAACACACATGTTTCTGGTCAGATATCCCGAGCCTCCCGAGTTTTTTGAGGCTGTCAATGTGTGTCTGATACGGCTTTCATTTGAGCGCGAGGTTCTTCAACACCGCCACCCCCACCCCCCCCCTTCCCGCCTTCCCGCCAGGTTCCGCTCCCGATCCGACAACTCGAAGGCGCTAACGGTCGCTGATCTACCTGGCATCGCCAAACTCGCTCACGATGCACATGACTTCATGGAACGGACTGATGCGGCATTCGGCGCTCGTAGCGAGTGGTCCCCCGAGCTCGCAGTGTGAGAACGTCGTATACCACAGGCCATGTAGCATTACAAGGCGTCGTGTCGGCACACTAGGCCCGTAGCACTTAGCCGCGAAGGCGTGACAATTGTTTTTTCTTCCACTCAGCCGAAGACATTGTTTTTTAATTTTTTTCTTTCTTATTCTTGCCGCGGCTTCTCGTTCCATAGACTGGTAGAAAAGTACGCCTACGTCCAGTTAGGCGCTCTCGAGACAATTGTCCGCCCATTGATGAAAAAGCGGCATGACGAGGCGGACGAGCTCAGCAACAAATTGCCCGGCGACCGACGTTTGTCCGACGACCACTTCCACGTCATCTCAGCCGCAAGTCCCCTCGGCCGCATCCACAAGGTACCTACCCAGGATGACATGTGCTCTTATGTGTTGCGTACTTCCTCCGCTTTTTTGGCGGCGCTGAACAAGGGAAGGCGTCTTTTGTCTTTGGACAACTATCGAGTGTTAGGAGTGCAGTGACTTTACCACTCCTGTGTTTCTCGTCCCACATGGCGGCCGATTCGTTTGCCGGACGATGCAGGCTGCCACTAGGAGGAAGGCAGATCCTTCGGCAATCCACTACGAGACATTCCAGAAGCAGTTTCAGGAAGTTATGCTGGCCTACAACATTTCCGAGCTTGTCGCCCACACTTCATCCAGTCAAGGCTCGACGGAGGGCGACACGGGAGCTGAGGCGACGGGGACTGGTGTGGGAAGCGGCGCGGGCGGCGGGGAGGAAGGCGAAGAATCCTCTGACGGAGAAGATGGGGATGTAGGGGGCGGAGAGTACGGAGACTTCGGAGACTTCGAAGACGGAGAAGAAGACATGGACGAAGAGGGTGTGGGTGATGAGGAGAAACGGCGAAGATGACGACACCACCCCGCGGACCGGAAAGGGGAAGGGGAAGGGGGAGGTAGGCACGGTGGTGAAGGCCAGGCAAGCGAGTCGGCGCAAGTCCACCGGTCACGGAGGGCTGCTGCTGACGCCGGCGCCCGTTGAAGACGTGGAAGAGTAAATAATTACCAACACGGGGCGGGCGCGGGGGGATTCGTATTGGCGTCGCTCTCGGTGCTTTCTTCACCATGAACGTGGTTGTCGATCTGATCCTTGTCTTATGTGTATCGTCTCCTTTCTCCCGCGGTAGTTTTGATCCGCCGCCGCCTCGTCCTTGTCGTTTTACCCGAGGAGGGTCCACCCGAACCTTGGTATCCTACGCGTTACAGAGCTCTAAACCCTGAACACCATGTCACACACACCCACTGCTTATTCTGAAGTATCGGGTTTTTTTCGGGTCACGAGACTCCATAGCAGAACCCCAGTTTAATACTCTGCCTGTATCTGCGACCCTGCATCAAACATTAGGTGTCGAATCTGTGTCTTGACGCCGTTCCTCTGTCCCGTCAAGAATCCTTGTTGCAACATGGGCATGCTCGATGTCGTTTGACCTGGCAACACCAGTCATACACCAACATTCTCCACCGCATTCCTAGGGCGCAAAACTTCGTCGTGCACGAGGAGTACAGCCTGCTCGAATTGGATCGCGATCAGCAAGCTGTGATCGACGTCCACAGCCGGGCCAAGTTGGTCTTGCTCAACGTCGGCGCACTACAGAGGTGTAAGGCCGACGACGACAGGCTCGCAGACCTCATCTACAACGTCCCGCACAACATGATGTGCCCGCGGGGACGTATGGCTTTCCTGGTCCCCCATACGTGGTTCGAGAATGGACACCACCTGCAAGGTGAACCCGCAGACTTGAAAAACCTACCCAAGTGGTTGGTCGAGGGCGCAATCTCGAGCGCACGACAACGTGCAGGTCGTGTTCATAAACCCTTCATGTGTCCCTCACGTTGATAACTCTGATGCGCTTGCAGAAGAGATAGGGTAGGGAAACCAACCACTCACATCTCTCCGAGCCGCAGATCGCGAGTGCGTCGCGAGTTGTCAGCTGGCAATATTTAACTTGAGTTCCTCGGCGTAAATTGTTGGCCTACTGATTGCATGGGTTGCTCCACGCAGACACCACCGTCATACCGGTGGGCTAACGGCGCGCCTGGATTTTTCAATCGCATATATCTGTCCCTGCAGCCGCTCTCACAGCTAAGGGCATGCGCATGGCTATCGAGGAGAACATGCTGACTCTGGTATACTCCTCTACTGGAGCAGGACGCCCTGCGTCCGCCGCCAACGGTCAGCTGAAGTTTAGCCAGGACGTGGTCATGCTCGTACATCTGACCTCTTCTTCATCCAGCAACTCGCCGACGGATGGTTTCACTGTGAACGAGAAAGTGACGACGGACGACCTGTACGGGAACAGCACGGCGGCCAGAGTAACACCCCAGTGTTCGTCGATCCTCACCGACATCCAACGCCCCGGGAAAGGAGTGGACTAGCCAACCAAGGCCTTGATGTTCCTGGTGAACAGGTGACATTTCATGTCGTCGTTGGATATTATTACGTATCCTGTGTACGTCTTCAACCCATTTGTACTATTTAGACGCGT